GATCACACCCTCAGAAGGAACTGCTTACGTGGGTTATAGGTCCAGCTGAGACACTGTGGTTAGGCAGCCAGTCCAGCACTTTACTAAAAGACTGCTGTGACAGAGTCCTGTAGTAGATTCTCTAGAAACATGCAAAAGAAGTGATAAATGTGTATCTTGTCTCTCGGAGCTTATACCATAGAGAGAGAGAATAAGTACAGAAAAAAATACAGCTAATTCCAACTTTTGAGAGCAAGAGATATAACTTACGTATTTCAGAAAGTGAAGACCAGGAAAATAGATTGTGCCAATTATTAGGAGCGGATATAATATTAATGTTGTATTTTTCTTTTCAAGAATTACCTTCCTCGTGAAATGCTTAGAATTCACTTTAGAGTCATCATGGGGAATGATCCCATGAAGGGATACTAGAATGTGGAGGGAAAGTCTAGCAGTAGGACCGTGTTTTCTAGTGAATGGAAAACTTCAAATGTGACTTGGCAATGCTTTTGAGTAGCACATAAGCACCTAGTACTTGGAAAAACTGAGATACATCTCTGTTCAACTTTGAGTACTCAGCTTCACTAAATCACGGTAATTAAACCTTTGACATAGAAATCTGTAACAGAGTCACAGAAGAATACTTTTGGCAAGGGCTTTCCAGTTTGATCCAGGAGTTTATCAGTATTCTGATATTTCATTTGTTTGTCACTTGTGCCTTTAAGTAAATATACTTCTTTATGTAGTAACCTCAAAACTAACCTATCAGGAGCTTTCTTGCTATTAGAGGTATTTTAGTTTTTCTCTGATGCCTTAAGGTATGCCTAGGTATATCTCAGTTTTGAAGAAGTCTGATACACGATAATCCCAATATTACAAGCTATATAAACTAAGAATTAATGTTATGGGAGGGTCCTTCAGTCTATAAAATGCCTTGCCCTTGGGTTAATATAAATAGGTTTCCCCTTTTGCATATAAAGTAATACTTGACTTGCAAAAAAAATCAGTTCCTACTTATTTATTCAAAGAATGTTCTGTGGGTGGTGGCCAGCGGAACAGAGAAAGAGAAATAAATCTGATTAAGATGTGTTTGAGAAGAATAATTGACAGGATTTGATGACTGATTAGAGTAGGCTGAAGAAATACTGCAAAGTATAAATCTGGAGAAATGAGAGAAGAAAGATGTAACTGACACGGAAGGAGTACGAAGAAAACTTGACTGAAACTATTTTCAGCTTTTAATGAGTTAAACTTAGATTATTGTAGTCCCGTGGAAAATTACAAATACGGACCTGTTTTGGAAATTGCTAATTTAGAAGCAGTAAAACTGTACAAATGAATGAAGAAGAGGAAAAGGGGGTAAAGACTGTATTTAGGGGCAGGAAAGAGAAAGAAGAGCCAGTGAATTAAGAAAGCTAATGAAAGGAGAAAGCTTCTCACAGGATCATGAAAGATGCATGAGAAGAGGGGTCAGGAAAACTATGGCTATGGCTAACAGAAGTTCATTGGAAAACCTGAAAGAAGTTTGTGTAATGTATGGGAAACCAAAGCCTGAAATCATTGAAGAGGGCCTTAATAACAGGGTAATAAAGACAGCAGACAGAAATCACTCATTGTGGAGTCAATTGAACCATTAAAACCGAGCAAATTGTGGTGGTTGTGGGGAGGGACAGGGTCAGGCATTTTTTGGTGTGGAGGTGGTAAAAATAGTGAAATATTTTGCCCCTACTAAAATACAAAGAAAAGGGATCCAGAAGAGAAATAGAAAAGATTAGAGGAGATGTTGAAGAAGCATACAAGCAAGACTCAGCAGAGACAGAAACCCAGAGGCATTATTTCTCTCTAAGAGTATATAAGGAAAAACATGCAGACAGAGATTTTCTCATTAAATGAGTAAACGATTAGCTGAGACAAGGTGAACTAGGGAGTTCCTCCTAGAAAAGGTGGTCTCCATGTTCTGAATAGAGAAAAAATAATAACCATAAACTGTAAGTAGCAGCAGAGAGCTGAGGTTGTAAGGAAGGAACCATTGTGGATGGAGGAGGGAACACAGCATCTATAATTAGTAGCTAATTCAAGCTGTCATTAACTAGTTTAAGTTTTTTTGTTTTTGTTTTGAGATGGAGTTTTGCTCTTGTTGCCCAGGCTGGAGTGCAAGAGTGCAATCATGGCTCACTGCAACCTCCGCCTTCTGAGTTCAAGTGATTCTCCTGCCTCAGCCTCCTGAGTAGCTGGGATTACAGAGGTCTCCACCACACCTGGCTAATTTGGTTTTTTTGTATTTTTAGTAGAGTTGGGTTTCACCATGTTGGCCAGGCTGTTCTCAAACTCCTGACCTCAGGTGATCCACCAGCCCAAGCTGGATACAGCGGCACCATCACAACTCACTGTAGCTTTGACCTCCTGGGCTTGAGCAATTCTCCCACCTTAGCCTCTTGAGTAGCTTAGGACTACAGGCAGGCGTGTAGTTGTCTCCCTGCAACTAAAGCCTTCTGGGTTCAGGCAGTTCTCCTGCCTCAGCCTCTGGAGTAGCTGGGACTACAGGCATGTGTCACCATGCCCGGCTAATTTTTATATTTTTAGTAGAGATGGGGTTTCACCATGTTGGCCAGGCTGGTCTCGAACTCCTGACCTCAGGTGATCTGCCTGCCTCAGCCTCCCAAAGTGCTGTGATTGCAGGTGTGAGTCACTGCACCAGGCCAGAAGTTTAATTTCTAAATGAATGTTCCAAGAAAATGAAAACAGTATTGCCCATCTTAAACATAGTTACAGTAAGTCGTCACTTAACATTATTGATTGGTTCTTGGAAACTGCGACTTCAGTACATATATATATATATATCTATGGTTTGTTTTTTGTTTTTGTTTGGTAGAGATGGGTTTGCTCAGGCTAGTCTCGAACTCCTTGTCTAGGCCGTGGAAGTTAAATATCACTGTATGTATTGGTGGAAAGTAATCTTTACAGAGATTTCACAAGCTTGCCTTTTAAAAAATAGAAATACTCTATTTCCTGAGATCTCTAAGCTTTTATACTTAAAACTGAGAACTCCTTTTCTTTGTAGGGCAAATCACAATTTAGGGGCCACAGAGGGTTAATAGTTTCTGGTGATTAAAGTCTGGGTAAGAAAGACTGGCTGTTACATCCAAACCAACATGAGAAGATACTTTAGCTAATAAATTTACTGGTTTATGATTAAAAATCAAACAGTTTAACCTTGGAGGCATTTTTGTCATGGGGGGCTTAATGTTGTGATTAGTTATCTGAACAGCCAAGTGACTCTGTGGGTTCAGTTAACCAGCCTCCCACTGTATATGTATAATTATTTCTAGTGCATGCACATACTAAGCTTATTTGGCCTTATGCACCCCGTCATTCTGAATTCTCTGTTTCATTACCAGCATCCACCCACAGCATTTCAGAAAGCCATTCCCAAATAGCAGAACCACAGCTCAGAATTTTAAATAAACCACACCTCCATTAGTTCAGTAGACAGGGGAATAAGTTACATGCTATGCATTTCCCACATCCATCCACCCTGGGCACTCTTTGTCATAATATACCAGAAGAAATCTAACTTTTGGTTCATTTAGCATCATGTCCCATGAGGTGCAGAAGTTATTTATTATAAGCTTAAGGATTTCCATTTAGAGCATTGAGTCAAAAGACTAAATTCCAAGGCAGACGGATTACCTGAGTTCAGGAGTTCAAGACCTGCCTGGCCAATGTGATGAAACCCTGTCTGTAATAAAAATACAAAAATTAGCCAGGCATGGTGGCAGGAGCCTATAATTGCAGCTACTTAGGAGGCTGAGGCAGAGAATAACCCAGGAGGCGGAGGTTGCAGTGTGCCAAGATTGTACCATTGCACTCCAGCCTCCCTCTCAAAAAAAAAAAAAAAAAAAAAAAAGGGCAGGGAGAGGAACTGAATTAAGATGATGCTAAATTAGAAACAAAAATAGTTTAAAAACAAATCAGCTATTTAATTTTAGCATCTACTCAGTTATGCATTCAAGCTGATTTTTTTACACAGCAAAATATAAACGTTCAAACATTTCCCCCTTACATTAAACCTGGAGCACATCCCACGGGATGACTGTCTCTCACTGCAAGATTACCATCATTAGCAACTTACCCTGTTTTAGAAATCATCTTCCTCCTTCCTTCTTTCTTCTTCTTCCTCTCCCTCCTCTTTCTTCCTCTTCCTCCTCTTTCTTCTTCTTCATCATCATCATCATTATCTTACTGTTGAGCACCAGTGGAGTACTGAACATAGCTAATTCTGCCCCCACTCTAAAAGCTTGCATTGTAAGTCAGACAGGCAAAACATTTGGAAGATCAAAAACACCCACAAGTAGGGTAGTTAGGCTTCGTAGGAGTGGGATGATTTACATGCTAATATCTGACATTTTGTCTGTATGTATGTTTTTAATAAAATTTCAGAAAATTTACTTGAATTAGCATCTCATTCATCTTAACCCATTTCCCCACCTCACCCCTACACTCAGTGTTACTCCATAAAGGAAATCGATTTTCAGTTCTTTTGGCAAGGATCCAGGGCCAGATTAGATTAACCCCTGGGCAAGTCATCTCTTAGAGACCAAGGTGTTGGGGTACAACATTATTTGAAGACTTCTGACCTGTCTATTCCCTCCAGACCTGTTCAAATATAAGTCAGCCGTAGGAGGAAGTGGCCACAGTTACAGGTACTACCCAGCTACCCAAAATTTGTATAATTTTATAAGGCAGAATTTAAATACCTCTAGGCTTCATGTAACTGCAGAGTAATCAGGACACTTATTCTGTATTTTTAGAAAGTTTAACTTTTTTTGGGGGGGGGGGCGGGGACAGAGTCTTGCTCTATCCCCCAGGCTGGAGTGCAGTGACGCTATCTTGGCTTACTGCACCCTTCACCTCCTGGGTTCAAGCAATTCTCCTGCCTCAGCCTCCATAGTAGCTGGGCCTACAGGCATGTGCCACCATGCCCAGCTAATTTTTATATTTTTAGTAGAGACGGGATTTCACCATGTTGGCTAGGCCGGTCTCAAATTCCTGACCTCAGGTGATCCTCCTGCCACTGCCTCCCAAAGTGCTGAGATTACAGGCGTGAGCTACCGCGCCCAGCTGGAAGTTTAACTTCTAAATGAATGTTCTAAGAAAATGAAAACAGTATTGCCCATCTTAAACACAGTTACTGTAAGTCCTCATTTAACATTGTTGATTGATTCTTGGAAACTGTAGCTTTAAGGGAAAGGACAGCCAGTTCTTGAATAACATCATTTGGTTATAACGTTATGAGAAAAAAAAGTTGGCTTTGTTATATGTTGTTTTCCTTAAAGTCACAGTTTCTAAGAGCCTGTCAGCAACATTGAGGACTTAACTGTATATGAAAATAAATCTGGATATATATATATGTGTACACACACACACACACACACACACACACATACACACACACACACACATACTTCATGGGTTTCTCGAGTTTCTGTCTTTCAGCAGATGAAAAATCTTGGCTGATTTTGCTTTTCTGATAAATACTGGAAAATGCAGTAGAACAGAAGTTCTGTCTCGTTTTAACACTGTAAAAATATTTGCATTCTCATGGTCATAGACGGATTTGTGGCCAAGGAACAGAAATTAGAGGATTTGGGCATGTGGACTTTGAGAAGTAGATTTTTCTCTTAGGTTTTTTAGTTTTGCTTTTCTCTCTGTATTGTCTTACCTTAGAGTACTATCTTATTCGGTACTCTACTGATGCTATAAATGTAGTATTTTTAAACATCAATGCATTGTAATTTTGTTGAACTCAAAAACCCCCAAGCATGTTATAAAAAGGAAAGGTTATCTATTGAGGATCATTTGTCAGTTGCAATAAGAACTGAAAAAATTATGGGAAAAAATAATATGGTTTAGTTGGGCAGGCAGGAGAGGTCTTGCTAATGGAGAAGCCAAAACAAGGAAATGGTGTTAGGTTAAGCAAGTATCAGCCACAAAGGGTGACTGCTCTATTGCTAGCCTGACAGGTTCCACTCACTCGACACCTCTTTGAGGAATTTAGCTCCTGGCGATGCCCTTTCAGTAATTAGTGCAGTGGAAATGGTACTTAACAAACAGGGATGGTGGCTGCAATTTTTCAGATGAACCCACCTGGTTTATGAGCTGTTAGGATACTATCAGGGTGGTTGAGAAGAGGAAGCTTTGTTTTCTGCCTGTGCGGACCATATAAAGCTGAGAAGGCATGTTTTGCCTTACCTGATTATTAAAAGCAATAAAATTTCAAATGAAAATATCTGGGTTTTCTTGTGCTAATAGGGAGAAATTTTTTTTGTATCATCCTACAAGTAATCAGTAAAGAAACTTTTGTGGATGAACTTTAAAAAAATAACACGCAAGTATCTAAATGCAAGATTAAGCCTAAGATACAACCGATGGAATGATGTACATCACAACAGAAAATAATAAATAAGTACCATGACTACAATCCACAGAAATTCAGAAAGTTACCAGGAGTGGAAAGAAAATCATATGAGAAGCCTTATAAGTCATACTCTAAGAGCGGAGGATGAGTAGAGTTATTCCACAGAGAAATATCCTAGATAAATCATAATCATATGTGGACAAGAGGATTTTATGGAATAGGGAGGGGAGCTTGTTTTCATTCCCATATTTGCCCCAGGATCTGTCCCATGCCCTCATCCCAGAGACAGCTGGATCTTTATATACACAGAAAGTAGCAGAAACTTGTCTTCGTGATAACGTACTCTTATGGGAAAGCAGAAGTAGCATCTTTAAGTAGTGTAATGACTGTTAAAAGACAGGTTATATAGTAGTTAAGAGCAATGACTCTAGGCCACACTACTCTTCCCTTACTAGCTGTGTGACTGTGGACAATTCACTTAACCAGTGCCTCAGTTTCCTCATCTGTGAAATGCAGGTAGTAGCTACCTCATAGCCTTGTTATAACACCAAAATGAATTAATATATGTAAGAGCATTTAGAAAGTGCTGATAAAGAATGTGCTTTGTGTTAGTGTTCATTACTGCAGTACTGAAGCTTAACTTTAAGGAATCTGTTTTGTCATATCCACCATCTGTGATAAGTGCCCTTTAAAAATAGTCTTATACAAGGCCAGGCATGGTGAGTCATGCCTATAATCCCAGCTACTCCGGAAGCTGAGGGGAAGATCACTTGAACTCAGGAGTTTGAGGCTGCCATGAACTGTGATAATGTCACTGCACTCCAGTCTTGGTGACAGAGCAAGACCCGGTCTCTTAAAAAAAAATTTTTTTTTTTAATGAGTTTGGACACATGGGTTATATACACACTGTATGAGTCCATGTGTATATTCACATGTGTGACATTCTTGACATGACAAAATTCTAGAAATGAAGGACAAATTGGTTTGTCAGAGGTTGTCAGGGATCAGTGGGGAAGGGAGGGAGGTAGACATGGCTGTAAAAGGGCAATAAGAAGGATTCTTGTGGTGATGGGAATGTTGTGTGTCTTGATGATATCCATATCAATATCTTGGTAGTAAAGTTGTGCTCGAGTTCTATGAGATGTTATTCTTAGGGAAAACTGGATGCAGGGCGCATGGGATCTCTGTATTATTTCTTATAAAGGTACCTCAAAATAAAACATTTAATAATAACAAAATTGGTTTGGAAGATTCCTAATAGAGAAAAATTAGCAGTGAAAGCCATGTGTATATCTGAGCAGACAGAAATATTACGTAAATAAACATCATGGAAGGAAAACTGAGCTGACCACTGACATTTTAGTGAGATGTTCATGAGCCTCCAAGAAAAAAACTGAACCACTTGGGGTCAGAGGGAGGGAGAAGATACACAATGGCTTAATTTCCCTAAAAACCCATCAGACTGGTGTTCCTCAGGGGCCTTTGCTTCCCAGACTGTGAAATGGTCTATTTAGTTGATGGTTTTTGGTAAAGAGAAGAAGGTAGATGAGCAGCAACTTACATACAAATTACATTCATAAAGACAGGCCAAAGAGAAAAGAATGTGGGGATGACAGGTATGAGCTACGTGCCTGTAAATATAGTAATTAAATCCAGGAGGTACTTTGTCTGACTTTTCTCTCATCTATTTCTTAAGCACTCCATGCTCCAGAGTTTATCGCTTTTACTTTATCACTTTTACTTTGTTTGTTGATTATACTCCATTCATATTTTCATATATCACTTACTATGGCCTTAGTTGTATTTGTGTGTGTGTGTGTGTGTGTGTGTGTGTGTGTGTGTGTGTGTGTGTGTGTCTTCTGGATTGTGGCCTCCTTGAGGGGATAGCTCACTACTGTACTCGGTTTTGACTTGTTACTTTAAAGCCCAGTGTCTGTCACACAGTAGGCACTTAAGAAATAATGAATCAGATACTGACTTTTGTCATGGCCCTGGACAGAGGAGACATTAATCTAGATGCCTATATAAATTAAACAGATCAAGTAAACTGGGAATATTATTGCACTAAGTGAAATTGTGGTTATTTTTACAAATGAACCTTCCTGGGCTTTTCCTTTATGTTTTTTAGTCTGGCGAATTTTTTTCTTAGGTTTAAAAAAAGAATTTTAGAGAATTGAGTAATGCAGCTATGAAGAGATGTCTTATAGCAACTACTAACAGCAGTATGGTGTCAGTCAGGAGGTAAAGGGCAATGAGAAAAAGACAAGGAGACCACTGGAAAGGAGGTAATTGGAAGAATGACTTGTGTGGCCTTCTGGGTTCAATTTCAGTCACAGAGCGTACCATCAGACTAAAATAGTGATTGAAAGCACTAGTAGCAAGCTTATATCCTAATGTTTGCCTAAGCATCTCCTTGCCAAGGCACATAGCCATATCCTGATGTCCAGTATGTGGAAGAGGTGCAGTGGAGGGAGCTGGAGGAAGAACATTCTTCCCTGTACCCCCCTGCCAACTGCAAGGTACAGTAGAAACTGAAATGATGACACAGTACCTACTTTTCACCTTCTTTACTTGGGCCAGTCCTCCAGCCATCCCATGTGGACTTGTTAGGTACCTGCTGGAAGTTTTATATTTCTGGTTCTGAATATGTAACAGAGAAAGTATACAATTAAATATTCCCTTCCTGCCAGGCGCAGTGGCTTACACCTCTAATCCCAGCACTTTGGGAGGACGAGGTGGGTGGATTACTTCAGGCCCAGAGTTTGAGACCAGCCTAGGCAACATGGCAATACTCTGTCTCTAATAAAAATACAAAAAAATTAGCCAGGTGTGGTGGCTCATGCCTGTAGTCCCAGCTACTTGGGAGGCTGAGGCAGGAAGATTACTTGAGCAGCCTTTGGTTTGCATCACTTGTGTAGCCTTTAGTCTGCAGCTGAAAGCTTGAGTCCCTGGGAAGCCATTGGTGCAACTCATAAGGTCTAAAGGCTGAAGAATCTGGAGTCTGAAGTCCAAGGGCAGGAGGAGCAGAAGCAGGCATCTGGCGCGGAAAGAAGAAAGAGGACCAGAAGACTCAGGAAACAAGCTTCGTCCACCTTCTTCCTCCTACTGTCTTCCGGCTGTGCTGACAGCTGATTGGATGGTGCCTACCCACATTGAGGGTGGATCTTCCTCTCCCAGTCACCAACTTAAACATCAGTCTTCTCTGGCAGACACACTGAGACACATCCAGAAACAATACCAGCCATCTAAGCATCCCTCAGTCCCATCAAGTTGACAACATAACCATTACAGTCGAGTTAAAGGAATGTGATAAAACATTAATTGTTGAATCTGAATGGAGTCTACACAGGTGCTTATTGTATTATTCATTGACCTTTTCTATGTGTTTGAAATTTTTAAAATAAAAAGTTGGGTAAAAACTAAATGCTTTTTTTCCTACAGCTGGCAACAAACCAAGGGTGTGCTCTCTCAACACTCCTGTTCAGCATCATGCCAGAAGGACTAGCCAGCACAGGCAAGAAAAAGAAATAGAAGGCATATAGATTAGAAAGAAGAGTTGAAGGGAAAACCTTGCTTTCTAAAACTGTTGGACTTGGTACCATGACTTTTATTTAAAATTGTTTGATTTGATGGAGAGCTATTCCACCATGGCTCATTAACTTCTCCTGCTTGATCTTTTGATGAGTTCATAGTCACTTGTTTCTGGTATCATGGTGTACTGCCAAAATCAGCTTCCAAGTTCCTATGTACCAGAAATGGGAGGGGAAGATGGGCTATGAGGAAGTGAGAAACCGAATCTCAGTCTTTAAAACATACCTTTGGGGTATGTGGGTAGTCATCTCCTGAAGCATATGATAATTTTGTCATGACTCCTGACTTCTGTGTGTTCTGCTGTTCTTTAAGCTGTCTTCTAGTCAAAAAAGTCTCCACAGAAGCAGCTTCTACATTGCTATCCGGAGGACCAAAATCACATTGGTGGATGATAACAGGAGGCCCCAAGAAGATTTCTGATGCCGTGTGTTTTTTGGGCATACTGAGGATAGAGACCTTCAAAGCTCAGGTGCACTCCTAAGATAACTTTCCTCATCAGCCATTCCAGATCTCCCAATCTTGTGTTCCCACCAGGAGAGGGAGACTAATGCTTAGGAATTATACTGCCTGGCAGTTTGTGAACAACTGACTTTTTAAATGTTTGTAATGTAGGACGTGACATCTTAGGAGTATTTCAAGCTAGATTTATCTCCATATCAAATAAAAGTGATGGCGTTCTCCACAAAATTTTAATAATCAGCCTCTTGAACCTCATTCTCTGTCCATACAATGGCTTTTCAGCAGATGTGTTACTCCAATATTATTTTGGGATAATTAGGAACATAAGAAAGGAAGGGAAAATCCCAAACAAGGTGGGAAAATTTTTTTAATGGGTAGCAAGATGTTTTCTTTCTTAAAGTCTTTCTCTTTTTTTTTTTTTTTTTGAGACGGAGTTTCACTCACATTACCCAGGCTGGAGTGCAATGGCGCGATCTCGGCTCACCGCAACCTCCGCCTCCTGGGTTCAGGCAATTCTCCTGCCTCAGCCTCCTGAGTAGCTGGGATTATAGGCACGCACCACCATGCCCAGCTAATGTTTAGTATTTTTAGTAGAGACGGGGTTTCACCATGTTGACCAGGATGGTCTCGATCTCTTGACCTCGTGATCCACCCGCCTCGGCCTCCCAAAGTGCTGGGATTACAGGCTTGAGCCACCGCGCCCGGCCTCTTTCTTAAAGTCTTTCATGGCACACAGTAAAATGTCAGGAGAGGATGAGTCTAATCCCTGCGTATACCCTGAAAGCAAAGCATGAGGGGAAACCAGGGAGAAAGTACCTGTAAAACAGGGTTTTTTCAAGCCTCTTTTATCAATTTTTCCAGGAGGGTGTGGTATTTTTTGTGGACAAAGGTTTTACCAACTTAAAGCTCCTTTTAAATGGTCAAAGGAGAAACAGCAGTGATGTGTGAGGGTTCATTAATTATTGCTCTTACTGATGTTTGCACAGGCTGTTGGGATCATAAATGTCAATCTGTCAAGAGACTGTGATAGGCTCTAAAAAAACTGATTGAGTACCTCAAAAGCTGTCAGAGAGCCTGAGATTAAACAGATTCATCTTTCGTAGAAGTAAGGAAAGGTGTGGGTGAAGGGAATAGCAGAAGGCTTTCTTCTCTTTGTTGCCACGTTGCTTCTCCCACTCTCTATTCCGTATTGTGAGTGTTGGCTTATACAGAGGCCTAAGAGCCTGTCTGCCTGAGATGTCAGGAAGCCACAGCCGTGCTTAGTGCCTGGGGTATGTGCAGGCTGCCAGCTGCAGGGTGACAGGAGATTAAGAGAGCTTGAGATTCAGCTTTGACAGGCGTGACACAATTTATTTGGAAATTTTCAGGAGAGAACATGAGTAATAAAGACAAGAACAGTGACAGTAAGGAACAAATGTGAATTTCTGCCAGAGACAAAACAGAATTTTAAAAGAAGTAGCTCTGTTTGTTGTCTCCAGTTAAGCCTTCCAGTTAAACTGTATTCCTAAATTGAAAGTCCTACCACTACTTTCTGAGATTGGCTAGGAAAGTACAATTAGAATTCCTCTCTTCAGAAGGTTCTATGACTTTAAAATCACTGTACAACCAGCCCACCATCTATGGATTCAACCAACCATAGATTGAAAATATCTGGAAAAAATAGATGTTTGTGTCTGTACTGCACATGTAGACTTTTTTTTTTGGTCATTATTCCCTAAATAACACAGTGTAACAATTATTTACATGGTGTTTATATTGTATTATAAGTATAATCTAGAGAAGATTAAAGTACAGTTTGACCAACATGGGTTTCCATTGTGCAGGTCCACTGTGCACAGATTTCCTTCTGCCTCTGCCATCCCTGAAACTGCAAGACCAGACCCCAACTCCTCCTCTGTCTCCTCCTCCTCTGCCTACTGAGTGTGGAGACAAGGATGAAGACTTTGATGATCCACTTCCACTTAAGGAAGAGAAACTATTTTCTCTTTCATGTGGTTTTCTTAGTATTTTCTTGTCTCTACTTTATTGTAGGGATACCGTATATAATACATAAAACATGCGAAATATGTGTTAATCATCTGTCATTGTTATCAGTAAGACTTCTGGCCAGCAGGAGGCTATTACTAGCTAAGTTCTGAGGAAGTCAGAAGTTAGAAAATTTTCAACTGTAATGGGGGTCAGCACCCAAGCCCTATGTTGTTCAAGGGTCAGCTGTATATGGGAGGGGGTATGTAGGTAATATGCAAATACTATGCCATTTTATATAAGGGACTTGAGCGTCTGTGGAATTTGCTATCCTTGGGGGTTCCTGGAACCAGTCTCCCTTGGATACCAAGAGACAGACTGCACAGTACTTGTCTCTCTGTTGAAAATTAAGCAGCAGCTACTTTCAAACAAAGAAAGCAAAATAGGCAAAATCCTTCTTAAGATTTTCCTTCCTCATTTAATCACATTATAATTCTTTATCAGAGTTTCCTCTGACTAGATCTGATGTGATGTCTTTCTCATTCCATTAAACATTGGCAGAGAAAGCAGGGGTCTGGTGAGAACCTGGAATGGGGGGAATGGCACCTCTCTGTGGGGATATCCATACTAGATTATGTTCTCAAGAAAAAGCATACTAGAAAAAAAAATCTGCTTTGTTGGCCCTTTATGAAGGACCTTAATTAGAAGTCACTCTTAACTGCTGGGGTGAGAAGGGTTTCCAGCTTGGCACCTCCTCCTGCTGCTAACGAGCATGCTCCTTGCAAGGACTTGCTGCTTCTGACAGTTAAAGCTGCATGTAAGAATTACTTCTCTTCACCTCTCCCTCCATATTTAACCGTTACTGCCCAAGTTCAGAGTATGCAAGTAAACATTCGATGTTTTTGGGAAATTGGCAGTGCTTCAGGGTAACATTTGTGAGCAAAAGTAAATCATCATAGTTGAATTTATTCAAATATGGGTAGTAGATGGTTCCTTTAATGTCAACCATGTTTGGATCTTTTTTTTTCCCCTGATAGTCTTTTTCTAATTGACATAAATTTATAAATGAATAGTTTAATTATTTAGTTTATTATCATGTCATTAGAACCCCTACCCTGGACATCTGTTTCTCTTATTTAAGCAACTCACCCCATGGCACAAGGTTTCATTAAGTATTTAGCAGAGAAAGTGTAAATTTCTTATGCAGGCGAGGATGATCCTGTAGGTTACTGTTGATATTTCATTAGCTTTTCAGTAAAACACTAAGTTGATTTGTGAGAAAATGCCAAAGAATGGTTTGCTTCTCCAAAAAAATTGCATGTGTATAGTCACCTTTCTGGACAATAGCATGTGGAGGATGATGAGCAGTTTTGGAAGCTTATTTACCTTCCCTCTTTGTGGGAGGGAGCATTAGAGAGCATCTAACAGATCATCAACTAGGGAAGAGTAAGTGGGCATATTTCAGAGTTTCAAAGGTGTGGATCTCTTATTAGGGAATAGAGGTCCTTGATTCTAAAACATAACACACTCTGTTAGACATTTCTTCTGCCTTAGTTTAGAATCACCTAGGACTGCCTCCTGTGGCTCAGACTTTCTATACATGGATGCTTTTGGTCATAGACTTGTACAGATGCTGGGACATTGATTGTCAGAGGACTGATTAGGGCTCAATGGTGTTCTTTTAGGATGGCCAGTATATTGTATCCAGAAGCTGTGGTAGCATCAGAAACCTCCTTTAGGACTCACTGTTCAAGAATATTCAATGCCTGCTGCCTTCAGAACAAATAACTCATTGTCTTCTTATGAATGTGGAGTAGATCAAGGAAAATCTCAACATGGGACCATGTAGACATTCCTTAGTGTTGCTATTGAATGCCCATTGGTCAGATGAGATGGGGAATTAAGAGAAAAAGAAGTCAAGACTGGACAGGCCTCCTAATTTTGTAGGGGAGGGGGTCCCATCAAAGTGGGTTGTTTGGTGATGACTGATGATTGTGATATGATGTAAATATGAATTCCTCAGCCATAGGACTCATGTATTTTAAAAAAATATTTTCTTTACATACCTAACTCCCTTACTTATTTGGACATAGTTAGCTTAAGGATAACATTGCCACACTGAAATTCTTTTTGTTTTTTCTTTATTTTTTCCCCCAGCTTCATTGCCACACTGAAATTAAATTATCTTCTTACAGCAAAGGTTTGTTTTAGAAATGGAGGTGGGTGCTTTGCAGACAGATAGCATGTTTGCCAGTTTGAGATAGAGCCATGTAGAAAGAGCTCTAAATGTGAACTCTGCATATTCAGACACAGTGATGTGAAAGAAAGGGGCTCAGGGTCTGAGCAGTCTTTTGTTACCTTACAGATACGCTGGCATTCTGCCAAGGCCCTCCAGATTTTAACCATATTAATAATGAAAAGACCTCAACTGCCTCCCCATCTTGTGCTGACACGTGCCTTCTAGTGGGAATAACTTCCTATAAGGATGCTCTGAATTTAGGACTTTGTTTCACAAAAAAACTTTTTTTGTTACAGTTTCTACTCTAGAATTTTCTTGTTACCCCACCCCCAAATGTCCAAATAGGGTTATTAATACAAATAGAGCCATTACTGATTTGTGTAAAAGGACCTCCACCCCGAGAGCAGTGTGGATCATACAAGGTGAATGTCTTTCCACTGACTGCTTTGTAATAATTTACATTTAAATTGTTGCGTGTTGCTCTTGTAGAAGAAGGGAAAGGGCCTGCCCTGTGTGTGGCCATCTTAGTCACCACACTGACTGGGTCTAGACGGCTTTACTCAGCAGAGCTGGGAAATAGGCTGAACTTGCTTTCAGTTGTTTTCATCAGAGGCCTTATTTAGTTGGTTTGTGTTGGAGCACAATGTCATGTAGGACTGGACGAATTAAATGAGATGAAAAATGAAGTCTGTAGTTGCTAAGAATGGTGCAGGGCCTCCATATGCCAGTACAGCGCAGCAAGGCTGGGGGACCAAGATGGTCGCTGGACCGTCTTAGGTGAAGTGCTGCGTCTGCCTCACACACAGGGAGGCTATGAAGAGGCATACGGACAGCATTGACTAAAATACATCCTATGGGCTGTGGCTTCTCAGTAGAGCCACTTTAAGTAGAACATGACTGCCTAGAAGACAAATTCATTCATTCAGGAAATACTTATTGAGCCATAGGCATGGAGGGCACGTCAGTGAACAAAGCAGGTGAAGTTTTCCGCCCTCTTGTAGTTTACGTTCTTTTAGGGCATAATGTTAAAGGTAAGTGCTATGGAAGAATAAAAGACAGGGAAACAAAGAAGGGCAAGTGCTAGGAATGTGGATTTGATGACCTAGAAGCGATGATCAGGGAAAAACCTTCAATGAAAATGTGACTTTGGAGCAAGGATACAAAAGAGATAAGATCCCATGTAGATCTGGGTGAAGAGTGTTTCCAACAGAGGGAACAGAAGGTACAAAGTCCCACAGGTAGGAGACAGTAGTAGTGTAGATAAGCAAGGAAGGAAAGCAGCAGGAGCTGGGCGGGGGGCAAGTCATGCAGGGCATTCAAGAGTCAAACTAAGTATCCGGACTTTTACTTTGGAAAGGGAAGCTATTAGAGGGTTTTAAGCAGGGAAGTAACATGATTCTAACTTGATTTTTTTAATTGTTTTTTCAAACAGAGTCTTGCTCTGTCGCCAGGCTGGAGTGCAGTGGCACAATCTCGGCTCACTGCATCCTCTGCCTCCTGGGTTCAAGTGATTCTCCTGCCCCAGTCTCCTGAGGCGTGTGCCACCACGTCCGACCAATTTTTCGTATTTTTTTTTTTAGCAGAGATGGAGTTTCACTGTGTTAGCCAGGATGGTCTCAATCTCCTGACCTTGTGATCCGCCTGCCTCGGCTTCCCAAAGTGTTGAGATTACAGGCATGAGCCACTGTGACCGACCAATTCTAACTTGATTTTTAACAGAGTCACGTGGCTGCTACGTGGAGAATAGACTGTAGAGACAAGGGAGTGAGCAGAGAGACAGTTAAGAGGCTCTTGTAGTACGCTTGATGAGTTGGTGATGGCTTAGACCAAGGTGGGGGTGACAGGGGTGAGAAGGTGTGGCATCTGGATCATTTTGAAGAAGACCATTTAGGAGATTCCTTTCTAGAGGTAATTTAGCACAAACAACTTTGGAACTTGGTAAGAGATACATCCTGGGTATGCAGGCAGCTATTTCAGGAATACAGAGCCCCAAAGAGCTGCCCAGTTTTTTGAAGGCAAGAGTCATTTACAGCCTTGTCTGTGATAAGAACCTTATTGCATCTTAATTATTTTTTTCAGATTATTCAAGACACAGTTGTCGCACAGTACACCTCCCTCCACCTGCCATTTTGGCTCCACCTCAAGGTGGAGTGCCCAGTGCTGCTCCTGCACCACCCCATGTTGGAGATCATGGAGCAGCTTGCTTGTGCACAGCAGGGGTGCCCCTTCATTCACTCTGAATCAAGTTGAACTAATTGTCAGTGTTATAACTAACTGACTTTTGTGTCTTTAAGAGTAGAAACTTGAGTAATTTTACTGTAAAAGATTACAGATCACTCATGAAACACTGGCTTTGGGAACGAAGTTGTGAAAGCATGGTGATACAGAGATACATTAGATGTAGTCCCATCTCTAAAGAATTACAGTTTACTTGAGGGCAAGTGAATACCCGAGAAAAGATACCTAAACAATACAGGCAGTAAGCATCTAGGTCCCAGCAAGGGGATACAAAGACAGGACCCCATTTTTAGCTGGACTGGCCTCCTCATAGAATCTCAGCTATTTTTAAAAACAACATAGAACTGGTATTTGTTGAGCCACCCTCACCCTCCTCTCCAGCTCAGGCCTAGCTTGTTAGAAGTCAGCACTAAAGGTACATGCTTATCATGGTTTGTGCAGTATAATCCAAGCAAGTCAGAGCTGGTTCACATGGGTCTGGTTCCTTCCTGGACAAGGGCAGTAGCCGGTCAGGAGAATACCTAGAAATACATTAATCAGCCGTGCTTGCCAGGCCAAGCACTAATCCTGATCCCCACATATGTTGTTTTGGTCAGATTCACAGTCTGAGAATGAGGCTTCACCAATAAAACGGCCACGACTACTGGAGAATACTGAACGGTCCGAGGAAACCAGCCGATCTAAACAGAAGAGTCGACGTCGGTGCTTCCAGTGCCAAACCAAACTGGAACTGGTGCAGCAGGAATTGGGATCGTGTCGCTGCGGTAAGCATCTCCCCCAGTGACACCATGGGGAGACTATGTCCTTAACACCTTGGCCTAGCTTTAGAAATTAAGTGGCTGAAGTCGTTCATTCTTCTTCTGAGTACTGTAGGTTTGCTACAATAGTGCATGCTATATAGCTTTGGGGCTTGAGAAATCGGGAGTACGGGATGTTTGTTTCTGAACACCCTTTATTCTCACGCGTGCAGAAAAGACAAAAACACCCCCCTCTTCTTATGCATATCTCCTTAGAGCTTCATCTCACTGCTTAGTGCTTTCAGCTTCTCCCCACCACTTATTACTCTGTTTTTTTCTCACTTATGACTTTAGAAGTTTAGCAAACAAGCAAAATTCTGGAATATATACCATAAAATTCAGATATTAATTTTGAATGTGCTTCTTACTGTTTATGATAAATGGAAGATTTCTTCTCCATATCCCTGTTAAATTAAGCTTTGCTTAGAAAATTTCTTTTGAACCTTAGTTCATCAAGTCAGTTGATACCTTGAAATAGTCCCCCTTTTTTTCTCCTGGGCTAAATCCATCCTCCTGTCTCTGCCTCACAAAATGCTGGGATTACGTGTGTGGGCCACCATACCCAGTCTGAAATAGCTTTACAGTAACCTTTCCTCCTGTATTCTGTAGTGGAATACCACCTTTTAGAATTGCTGCACAGGGATGCCTACCTGCAGTGGAACAAAACTTAAGTCAACCCTTTCTCTCTCCTTGACCACGTGTATCATGACACATAGGAACAAAATTGTATAGCAGCATTATTTTAGGCTGATTTATAGCTTTCCTGTACTTGTTTTCATTTCCTGCTGTTAAAACATAATAATGTAAAATTGAAGACCAATTCAGCTGTCATCAGACTAACTTTGAGATCTGACTCTATCCTCTGAGAATCCTATTTCTTTCTTTCTGAGAAGTCAGCTTTAGAAGCCCCCTTTCATTTCCGGGACAGTGAAGATATCCTACAAGTACTATTGCTGGCAGTCAGGACTAAATAGTTCACTCAGCAGTTATCAAGCAACAGTCACTGGAAGTTCACTGTATTCTGAAGCAGCAGCATTTGCTGCTACGGTTCTCAATTATCTGCCCTATTGGAAATGAGAAGGAAGAGAGAGGATATTAGCTTTTCATATAAACTGAGTCATGGCACAAAAAAAAAAAAAAAATGAACCCGTTTGTTATATATTCTGGTGTATGTGGTACTCCACAAGATTGAAAGTGCGTCTTCAACTTCAGAAACCGGAACCAGTGTGGGGAGTCCAGATGTCACCAGATAAGGTTTTTCGGGCATTTTGGTTATAGCATTAAGTGTTTTTGGGAAACTGTAAAGAGGGTTAGGATAGGTGGTGGGAACAGAGGCTGACAGCAGTTTTCAGACTTCAGTTGTGTTGATGCATGCAGTATGGCCCAGGTGAGTTCAGAACCTTATTCTTAGGCTGTTTTGATCAACCCTGCCAGGCAATTTTAAATTCTTGGTGATGTAGTGCAGGGACACTGTGGTTGGTTAAGGAAACTCTGGGCTCTGTTGGCTAACCAGCTTCGCCCCACTGAAGAGGCTGTCTCATCTTTTGTGATCTGCAAATTCTTGCTTTGGTCATGTGAACTCTTGGGGAATTTGAGCAGTTCAGTCTGTTACCAGTGTTGTGAGCCTACCTGGTCATTTTAGCTATTGCTTTTGTAACATAGGCCTTTGGTTGTTCCTCAGTTAGAATTGTGGGATTTTCCTGAACCTTCTGTTCTTGTTTCCTCCTTGAAAGTAACTGAATCCTGGGTATTACACAGGATTTGCCGTACTGGATCAAGCAGTTGATCTGTCAAGTATGCTGTCTTGCCCTTGGCAGTGGCTAATGCTTCCTTCTCGTCAGGCAAACAGGAGATTTCACAATTTAGCCCTGAGATCTAAAGACATTGTAACCAGAACTCCCAGTTTACCCTTCAGCTTTGACTCAAACTACCTAATTTCCTAAGGTCTTAGCACCCAGCTGAAAAAAAAAACAATAATATATGTTAGATGACTTCACATTCACCCAAGTAAAGCCAACTTGTCTAATCTCTGGTAAATATAGATTACTCTGCAACGTCTTCACCTTTGTGAGCAGGAGGCGGGGGGGGGGGAGTTGCTGCAATATGTGTCCATTTTAAATGTTCTAACATGTAATCTCTTGGCTTGTGCCCAATTCTGAGAGTCTGCTTATAGGGAGATTTGACTTTTTCTGTTGGAGAAGAAAGCCCTGAGCTTACTGTAGTCTCAACAAGGTGTAACTTTCCTAGAGACAGTTGGGCATTCAGTTTGACCCACTGAGAGCATTACACTTATGTGTCCAGAAAAGTGACTGCATCAACTGCCACCCTTCGAAAGATGAAGGACAACAGTGGGAACATGCCATTAAAAAAAGTCTGAGACTGTCTTTGATAAATAGCTCTTGCGTTTCTCCTGCCTGCTTGGATATCTCTAGGAAAGGGTGAGTTGTATGGTTATTTCCTTGAGGATGCATGGATGTTAGACAGACCTTTAACTGCCCTGAAAGGTTTTAGAAAGGGGATAACAGTAATTTACTATTGAACGTGAAGACTCAAAAAGGTAGTTTGAGCTCAAACAGAACACTTCTTCACTGCAGAAATCTTTTTATACATATATATTTGCAATCTTTTCTTCCATTCGCCTTCCATTCTGTACAGGTTATTAACTGCTGACAAGAAATTCACATCTCATAAATAATGCTTAAGAGCCATTGCTATATAAATTGAATGTGTTATGAATTGTGATGGGCCTTTTTGTAGCATTCGATGCCTAGAGCAGGAAGAACAGAGGATGTCATTTTCATTAATTTCTAATGAGGTGCCAATTAAAGGCAGGGAAGATGCTCCAAAGGGAAGAGTGGCCAAGCTCCCCTGAATCCTTCGCCCCAGGGTTGTCATCTAAACACTGCCAGTGAAGCCTTCTCTAAAAATTCCATTAAATTACAGTCTCATCGAGAGCACACACAGACACATTCAGCTTCCCTTTGATCTTCAAAAGAGCAATTTGTAAGACGAGTTCTGAGCCTTCTCACATAAGGAACAGCTAGAGGTGATAGGAATTGTTAATTGCCAGGACACTCCATGGGCT